ATCACAAACATCTAATTTGAAACAGTGCTGTATTCAACATACCATGTTACACACAAAAATCAATGCTTATCTGTGTTTTTCCTATATTTACTTTTAAATTAAGAAAATTCGAATCATAATCTACAGTTTGATACCAAACTTATTGACATAAATTCATGAAATAGTAGTTCAATAAAATTTTGAATTTGAGTCAACAAACGTGATGACATGGCCTTTCACCCATGACACGTATGGAAAGGGTTAAGCTACTATATTATCAATGTATGTCAATAAACATAATAGTTAATAAATCATATTTTAATATAAGTTTTAATTTATTATTTTCAAAAGGAAATATTTAAGTTCTCAATCCATTTTCTGTATCAGTGACACTTGTTTACTTCAAACAGCACAATTTCCACCTCTGTTTGAGTTCTGAGCTTTAATGCAAATTACAAGCTTATATTATAGATACTTCTTTGACATAATCTAACTTTAAACCTCTACTCATCTTGTTTTACTTAGATATAAACCAGAAAGTTCAACCCACATGCTATGTCCTCCGATCAAATATTGCTTTTCAAAAAATGCCATTTGCTATTATATTGTTTACAACCAATAGAAAGAGAAGACTTTAATTTACTGATATGTATAATGCTAGCTTGTTCTCATGACAACTTTTGAGTTATTCAGCACAGCACACATATTCAAAGTTGCTATCACCAAGTCTAGTTAGGAGAATTATTTTAGAGCACTAGCTTATTTAGAAATCCAGTTAGATTATAATAGTTATTGGTTACTTTATGCTTTGTGTTCTAATTAGAATATTTAAAATAAGAAAAAATTCAGTAAAGTTCTAATAACAACACTACCAAAAATAAGGGTTAACTTTTACTGACACTTCGAGTCTTTGATTGCAAAAAAAAGTAAAAGACCCACATGTAAGTACTAAATTTCCTGTTTTTATGTATATATTTTTTACTTACTGATAGAAAATTAACTAAAATGTAAATAATAAAATTTATTAGGTTAGATAAGAAAATATGAATGAAAACAAAATTAAATAAAAATAATTTATCCACAAGGTATGCATGCAAAAAGCCCATGCATTACATAATTCAATACTGTAACTTAAGCTGTGTGTTTGTTTGATGATTTCTAGGGTTAGTACTATACAGTTTCAAACAGCAACAAAATAATAAAATTGAATAAAAAGAGATTTAAACTATTATCTGTTTAAGATAAATAATTGCAACTTTCTGTTACAATCTGCATCCATTCTAAAAAAAAAAAGCATAAGTTAGATTTATTTCTTTTTTTTAGGTTGTTACAAACTTAGCCTAACAGACTGAGCCCATATAGTGTTAAGGTAGAGAAAACAAAAATGAAAAACTTTTGATATTCATTTAGGAGGTTCTAGAGGTCAAATATATGAAATTTGAAAAATTTTAGATGAAAAAATGTAGTTTTAGTCTTATCATGAAAATTACTTTGCATTCAGACTAGTTTGAGTCAGACTCTGACTCCATAAGTTCACGGCTATTTTTGTGTACAAAACACTTATGTTTACTAAAGCTTGCCAAGTTTAATGAAGATACATTTAACACATTAAAAGTTATAGTATATATTCTGATAATTACAAGGGAGTTACAGAGTTGTATAAAATGATCAAAAATGTAAAGAGAGGGTTAATCAACAAGCATTTCTTTCTTCTACTTTTTATGACTAACACCATGTAAAAATATCACCATACAATAATAATACTGAAGATCAATTGCCCTTCTGTATGTAAAAAGAAAACAATAAAAAATTATCAAAACAACTAACATGTACAATTGTACCTGTGTGAGAACTTTAACCAACAGTCCTTTAACAAGTTGTGTTTTTATTTAAAGATTATGCCTCTTAATATTAAATTACATTATTTAATTCCACAAACTTAAGCCAATGTATAAAACATTTTCTAACCTTTTATTGTCACTGAAGAGTTGCATCAACTGTACAGCCAATCCAAACAGTCCTCCTGTTTCTAAAAGAAGCACTTTATTCACAGGTCTGTACACTTTACTGAGGAATTTTTTACAAACAAACATGATATAAGAAGCTGAAGGTTTTCATCTTTTAAGTCTACAAAAATGAAACCTTATCCTGTCAATCACACAGAATTACAAAATATACAATACATTCTGTTGAAGCCTGGATAAGATGATAAACATACTGATTACATGCACAAAGATAGGGTGAATTACTGATAATGCTGAAGTTTAAAATTAATAGTTTTATTGGGCTATACCCATGATTACTGTTTATGTAGTTGTGTTTTTATTATTAAATAGAAAACCCTTGTAATTTCTTGATGTTTAATGAATAATTCACCTCTCATTCCCTACTAATAATAAAAAGATCAAACAAAACATTTAAGTCAATCCTATTACTACTATAATTTATGCAGTGTTTTAGTATCCTGTGACTATCTTACATTACAGAAACTAAACATTTAATTGTATTGATTTTCAATGAATAACTTCTCTTAATTTAATAGTGATTGTCTGATAACTAAATACACCCTTCTTCGGGTTCATCATAAATCTACCTACTTCTCTTAACCATGTGTTTGTACTCTTCTTCTGTTGGACATACAAAGTTGTCTCTCCAATATATTTCCATTCCTTGACCACGATGAAGCTCCAGCAACTGTTCTAGGGAGAAAGTCTCAATATTTTTATGCAATCTACTTTAAGAATTTTAAAAAATCATGGATAAAATCCTTTAGAAAAATAAATAAATATATATATATATATATATATATATAAAGTCTAGTTTCACCCAAACAATATTTCAAACATAACAAGATACATGAATATAAAATGGTTAACAAACCAAGTTTTTTGCTGGACAGCTATCAATCAAAAGACGTTAGTACTTGTGAAAGCACATACTGAAGTCACAAAGATATCAAACTTCAATTACTAACATGGTTTGTAGCTATTTAACAAAATGGTAAACATTTTGTATTTAAAACACTTTAATATGATACTGGCATGGCTCATTTCCTTATTATTACACCAAATTTCTGATGATTTTACTATTAATATCAAAACTTCTAACAGTTCACAAGATGTTCAGCATTATAAATATAGGTAACATTTAGTCACTGATATTACAGTATATCAAGTTCCCCGAGCTATTGCCACAGAAACAAATGGTATATCAACATACCTGTGTACACAACTGTAGCCTCAGGTTTTCCCAATTTCAGCAACTTCTCTAGCCCCAAGAAATAAACATAGTTAGCAGTGTTGATGGTACTAGCAACCCCAAAAATATGATGTGCCACTGGAATTCCTCGTCTTAAACAAGAATTATCTTCAATATCATCAATCCTTTGGAATAGAATAGAATATCAACATAAACACAAACCAGTTAGTATGTGCAATTGCAAATATATATATATTTATCAAAGTCACAAAATTATAATTTTCTTGAAGAAACTAAACTTGGAATTCTGTTTTAGTGATTTAGTAAATATGTGAATAGTTTGAATTAAAAGTATAACAAAACAAGTCAGTCTATAGGTTAAAAGATTTTCTAGAATTTTTAATACTAAATGCTGGATTAATCTTAGTTTCCAGTAATTGTTACTTTCTTCTAAAATGGGATTGTAACAGCATTTCTAATGGACATAATATTGTCTGTTTAGCTCAATCAATCAGATATTGACTTAAAAGGTTTTGGAAAATGGATTTTTCTTTCTTTTTACCTTTTGAAGTACAAATTCATACAAGGCACTATATATAAAAATCCTATACTTTATGTTACACATACTAATATGTTATGCATTCTGGCAGAGTATGAAATTAGTGGTGGCTAGCAGGCAAAAAGCTAGTGGGTTCTAGTGTTTAGACACTGAACATCAAAAGCTATGGCATTTTTGGAGTAAGCTGATAATCGAGGCATGGATATGAATATTCAGACCAGTTGTAAACACTATTCAAGCACAAAATTATTGGAAAAAACACTATACAACAATCAATCAATAAGCTTTTTCCTTGTAGATTTTTATGCATCATTCTCACACAGTTCAAAATAATAAGTAAAAAACATTTTCAAGACAGATTTAAATTTTTTATTCTATATTAGGAAATATGATTATTATTATTATTACAAACATAGATATAATATTTAATATTAAATAAATATGTGAAGACAAACAAGTGACTTTTCCTGGAAAGTCATGTCAGGTAAGTAGTTTTTTCTTTCTTGGGCATAACTTTCAATTTAACTCTTTTCAGCATTGGCTCGGTCCCTGGGACTGACCTCATAACCATTTTGTGCTTGTTATAGCTTTCATGCTATAACTTTTAAATTAGTAAGTGTACATTAACGATTTTGGTAGATTATCAGTAAACATTACAATGCTTTCATATGCAAAATATAACATTTTTCTTTATTAAGTCTTAAGGTTTGTTAGGCAATGTTTTTCTCATGCCTTTTTTTTCTTTTTGCATGTTGCCTTTCTAACATGCAAAGTAATTTTCATTTTAAGATTAAAATACTTTAATGCATCAGAAAATTTTGAAATTTCATATGTAAAATCTTTATAATGTTTAGATAGTTATCAAACATTTCTTAAGAAGAAACTTTATATTCTATGTTATTTTCACCAATAAATCTCTGTACGGGTTCGGTAGATTTGACCTATCTTGTAACAACCATAAAAAATTAAGAAATAATTATAAATTATGCCTCTTTCATTCTAGAATGACAACAAATTATATAACATGATACATAAATGTTTAGACTAAATTGCTTAAATTTCATAACATTATACATTTATATATATTTATTATATTGACCTTTCAGCCATGCCTGGCTAACAATACAGAAGTTACAATGACACAGCACACATGCTCTCATGTTATCATATCAAATTGAATAAAACTGACCTTTAATCTTTACAAAGTGACCTGTCTTGGCTGTGTTTCAGTAGACTAGTACTTT